GTAGACCATTACATCTTATTCATTTCTCACTACCATTACCCATAATTGAGCAATCTGATGATTATGTTGAAGAAAATAAATATTTCAAACGTCAACACTTCTCCTGCCCTCCTGATTCTCTGACCGGAATCTGGTCCATATTTGGCCGCCTCAACCAGTGGAAAATTTACATGTAGTAAGGTTTACTACACATAATAAAAAAAAAAAAAAAAAAAAAAAAGAAAGAATGGCAGGGTCATCTCATCGCTGTGATTGCCGCGTTCCCAGCTGCTCCAACTCAAAAACGACACTCTTACTTTAATGACCACGATCTCCCGAAAGACGAAGGACAGGGAAAATCATGGATGACAATATTTAAGGGGGTTGAATGCCGTTTCAAGTTATATGTGGGAGTACGCTCGTATGCTGTATGCACTTCAAAGCAGAGATTATCATGTTTCATTAAAGACTGGTGGTCTATGGTTTATTTTCATGAGTAATTATAATATAGACAAAACTCCAGTTAAACTATCTGCCTTCCACAAACAAGTGCTCATCATGGTCATTAATCTATAAGCATGATTTATCCCTACATTGTTGTTATTTTGGAATAATAGACAGTTCATACAAATGCAAATCTCTTTTTTTTTTTAATTGGTTTGACAGTAAAATTATTTGTTTAGTCAGTTATATAATAAAGATGGTAAACTTTTCTTACAATGAAGTCCTTTATTACAAAATCAAAATATTACAAAACCCAGCAAGTTTTCAACTGTTATTGGTTCAATTCCTGCAGAGACATGTTATTCATTTATGTTATTTAGAGGTATTAATAAGACCATCCTTCTGATGCTTCATCTTTTGATATTACTAAATCTTATGTCGGCAAATTTTGTTTCACTAAATACCAAGAGTAATGATAGAGCTATTCATACTCTTTTCCAAAAAGAAATCATTACTGTACCTTATATTAAATTTTATTATATGTCTTTATTAAAGGGTGAATTGAAGAAAAGTGTGGCTGTTACCACAGAAATATCATGTTAGAAATAGAATTAAAATATCCTATAAACTCATCCACAGGTTTTATCCAGCAAAACATTGTTTGCAAAAATTTAAAAGTGGGATTGATGTAAATTGTATTTTTGTAACGAATATGAGGAGACAGTTTTACACTTATTTTGGCATTGTACATAGTCAGCTTATGGGGTGAGTTGCAAAATGTATTAATAACGATTCTTTTGTGTTCAACCTCTTTCATTATGGATAAATGTACATTTGGGCTTTACTTGATTATCCTAATCTAGAGGGAAAATAGTTTTATTTATTTAATTTGCTTATGTTGTTAACAAAATTGTACATTCATAAATATAAATTTACTAATATGAAACCAGATTTTAAGGTATTGAAGACTGAAATATGCTTGTACAATACCAGTATCAACTCTCTAAACAAGAAACTCGACCCACTTTAAAATGTGTGAACTCTACAATGTATTTCATTATTATGTTATATTACATTTTGATTATTTGTATTTTATTTATAATTACCCCCTGGTATGTACATTTTTGTATTGTAAAATGTTATTTTCTGTTCTTTAAATAAATAATAAAAATGAATATTATCCACGAGTAGGAGCTAATGTGTTTCCAGACTTGAGAAAACCTCACGAGCATTAAACAACCTGTAATGTATTAACCGATAGCAACTCGCCTGTATAGCTAACTTACCTCGCCATTCACTATATCTGACTCTGAATAAAAAGGAAGGAGGGGGTTAGCACAGTTTACAGACGGGACTACTGACATTAAACTCATCCTGCTGGATGTTAAATAGCCAGGTTAATCTAGTTTACGAATGGCTTGAATGAGCAGATTTTATGCTGTTGGCTGTGCACCTTACTGGAACCTGATGTTGCAAACGCAAACGGTAAGACACGTTTTCTGCACAAACTCTGCAAATCGGTATCATCTTTTAAAAGTTGTTTTATTAAGGCAGTTTTACACATTCACCGAACAACATTTTCTTGTCCAAATTATGGCAAAGTTGACCGTGAGAAAGTCATCCGCTGTCCCGAGGCTGTCATGTCTCTGCGACTCATAGCGAACCCGGAAATATCGATACACTGCTTCGAAGGGCGCTTCCGGTGTTCAATTCCGCTGTGAAAAAGGTCTATTCCAAAGGAAAAAACAGCACGTTTAGGTCTGTTTTCTTTATAAATCAGCGATCTCCACTGGCTGAGTGATATCCGATATAAAGTGGGTCTTAGATTGTACAAGAAGCACTGCATTAAATTACATTTTCTCCCGCCATGTCTTTATAATATGAGCATTTATTTTACCCCAGTGTACTCAATGGAGCTTCTGCGCTAGCCTGCCGATTCTGACGGCCGAGTGCGACTAAAAGGCATTTTGTCTCGTTTTACGCTTGAACAACTAAACGAATGCCAAAGTTTATTTAACTGAATGTTTTTAATTACATTACAACATGGATGCTGTAAAAGGAAACATATAAAGTGGAAAAAAAAACACAATAACCGGTCACCGGAAGTTTATAAGTATGGGAACAACACTAGCTTGGCATATATCCAATTATATTCATCTGTCTCCATATTCTACTGCATCTCAGAATATTACACAGCACCAAAAATGTAAAAATATATATTGAATATATTTAAATATTTTTGTCCACAGCAGAAGGCAATTCGCAGTGACGCAGATTTCCTAGTCTGTGTGCTCCAATCAGGTGAGCCCTCTTCAGCGCTCGCCATGACAACGAGACAACAGTGACGTGCCTTGTAAAAATTTGCATATGCATTCCTATAAAGCTTGTGTGCTCTCTGTCAGCGTTGTCAGTTCGCCCGGTGTAGCTGTTTGTACTTGACCAATATGAGTTCAATACCAACGGTACGAGTGGAGCCACGCCAATCTCACGAAGTCCGCTTCGTGAAGCTTCACCCGGGGCCGTCTGTGCTGTAGTTCCTTGCGGTTTGCGTACATAAACGCAATATTGCGAAGAACATTACGTGTTTGTTGCTCGAAATGTGCCGCCGAGCAACATCCAGTGAATACTGGCACGGCCTGGTGCCCGGTCTTCTCTTACACTCCCTGGGGCGAGGCAGCCTTTGAGCCCTAGGCAGGGAGCAAACAACCCCCGAGGAGCCTCAGGGAAACACGCGGGGCCGGTAGTGGGACCTCGCTGCGAGGGTTATGGTGGGTGGGAGTAGCGAGGCCCACTCATCTTCTATTTTAAACTATTGTTTCAAACTTTAGTTTACTATAGTTTGAAATAGAAACCATGTAACTGTTATGGTTTAACTTTTATACAAAGAGCTTAGAATGACCAAGAGCAACAGACCCGGATTCCGCCATTTTGAAGTGATAGCGATCGCTCGTCATTGCTGTCGCGATGGAAAGCAGCTGCTTTGTTTTTATTTAATTTATTCAAAGAGCACGTTATTGTTTCCCAAATTGTAGAGTGTCGCCTCTTGGTAATTCTATGCTCTTTGCTCTATGTCTGACTGTTGTAATGTTTTGCTTTGTTTTTCAGCTGAGTTGTTGAGCAAAGAACTATTGAAGACAACTTTTGAAGACAACCGCGGGTTATATTCACGACTCACGAGCGCGCGCATTATAATGTTTCCGGGCTGTTTTCTGAAAATGTATCTTGTTTAGATAAGTTTGCATGTCAAACTAAATAAACTATACTCTTTCTAAACGCCTGTCTCGTGTTTTATTTGTCATCTACAGCAGTGCACTGTCATATAAGTCTGTTGAATGCATTTGTATGCATTTGGTGTTATGTTATGGTTGTTTCATAACTATATTTATTATTATTCTGTATGTTAAAAATCAGCAATTTATACTATACATTTAACATGTCATAAACTTACTGTTATTTTAAAATTTGCCAAATAAAGTGTCCTAAGACAGGAATGGGTGCTGTTTTGGTTTTATGTCAACCTACTGTAGGTTTTAGGTTGACTCAGCAGGTATAGGCTACATACATCATAGGGAGTTTTTTTAATGACCCAAATCAAGTAAAACGTCTCTTACTCATGTACTTTTAGAATGCATAAGTCAGATTTAAGTGTATAAAATATAGTTTCTAACAACAAAATTTTGTCTTGTGAAAAAGACCAGTGTGGTGGTGAGAAAAAAAAAGTAATGTCAAGTTATATATATTTATAAAAGAAGTTGATCAAGTTGTCATAATATTTAGTCATTAGATTATGTGACCGCTAGATGGCGCTCATTTGAAAGGAGCGTTCATTTCAAAGGAGCGTTACCCTGTGCTAAAAAGGCGGCTCTATTGACGCATTCCTTCCAATAGACAACATCTTGGTAGGCGACATCTAATGTATATAGCTATGGGCGCTAACTAGTATTCACGTCGTATCATGCTCAACTCTTAATACTCTTTTACGCATTTTGAAAGTCTTTGCGTGATTTCAGAGAGATATTTAAGCACATAATGCATACCATTGAGTTACACAATGCAGCATTTAGCCCGCTCGTAAACATCGCTGCTTTCCTCAGATCATTATTGTCTAAGCAGAAGTTTCATCATTAGCCCTGACTGCCAGATGCTCTTCATCTCAGGAGCTGTACTTTTAGATGCTTGATAATAAGGTGAGTTATGGCTGGAGTGGACGCTGCCAGACGGGCTTTCATTCATTTTGTCATGACTGGGAGAACAAGATACTAATGAGTGACAGTCCACAAAAACTGCTCTCCGGGCTATTAGGTGCCTTCTGCACCTACTGGTATGCTCAGAAGGCTGTTATCATCCATCCACATGGTTAATCATCTTTAGATCACAAACGGCTGCAGCCGGAAGTTAACGAGAATTTATATATTTTTTTACATTTCCCAATAATTAGGCTATATTTTATTAATGCCTACCCCTACATTAACCGTCACAGTAATGTAAAAACAGATCTGGGGTCTTCTCTATTAGTATAGCTGATTAACAATGTGAATGGATGATAACAGCCTTTTGAGTGACATTTACTGCTCGGAAGGCCCCTACTGGCCCATATCTATCAGCTGATAACCACTGATAAAGCTGATTGAAGCAGCTGACTGGACATGGTCAAACAACATTATTGGACCATACTAACCAGCCATACGTGGGGTCCCATATGTGACATGGCATTAGACTAGGTATTTTAGAGATGTGTAAAAAATGAATGTATGTGGTTTTATGTGTCTTTGGCAGCGAGAAGAGGCTGAATCCAAAGTCTGAGAAGAGGCTGAGAAACAGAGGATCGAACGAGAGAAACACTTCCAGAAGGAGGAGCTGGAAGACTTGGAAAGAAAGAAGGTAAAATAAAAGTCCACCAATCAAGCTAAACACAGCATCATGCTCTCTTATTCACACACACACATACGCGTGCTCGGGAGTGATACTGTTAGACCGCCCGCTCCCTTTTAAATTACACCAGTTATCGACCGCTCCCATGCTTTATTCGGAAATTTATTCCCACGCTGCACGAAATCTGGTACAGCCGCCGGAATGCAGACCTCTAATCTGGCATCACGGTGGCTCAGTGGTTAGCAATGTCGCCTCAAAGCAAGAAGATCGCTAGTTCGAGTCCCGGCTGGGTCAGTTGGCATTTCTGTGTGGAGTTTGCATGTTCTTAGTGTGTGTGAATGAGTGTCTATGCATGTTTCCCATTATTGCTTTGCAGCTGGAAGGGCATCCACTGTGTAAAACATATGCTGGATAAGTTGGCGGTTCATTCTGTTGTGGTGACCTCTGATTAATAAAGGGACTAAACTGAAGTAAAATGAATGAATGAATTTTGAAAAATTGTTAAATATAGCACTTGGGAAATATTTTTAAATGATTTAAAATTCACAGAAGGGCGCAAAAGTTTGTCTTCAATTGTATTTGAGATTTTAGTTCAGTACTGTTGGTTTAACGCTTGTTTTTAAATTTTTAGCGTCTGGAAGAAATCATGAAGAGGACTCGTAAGAGTGACGCTGGAGCACAGGTGAGATGTGTGTGTGTGTGTGTGTTTCATTAAGCCTAAATTTATCTTAAACACACTCAATGAAAGAAAATTAACCTGGTTTATTCATTTCTTTGCAGAAAGATGTTAAAACTCCAACTCAGGTGAATGGCAGAGTCACTGACAGCAGTAAAAAATCTATTCATAGTACTGTGAATATAGAAAAATCACTCTTTTATTAATATCATGTAAGTAGGGGCAAAATAAAAAAATTCAATGTTGTTTTTCTCTCGTCTTGCAGTAATACAGAAAAATCCGTCAGAAGCTCTTCATAGTGGTGCGACAAACCAATCACCAATGAAGTAATCGAGACGCTGCATGAATCGAAATTGAAATGAAGTTGCATGAAATATGTTTTGCTTATTGTCCCGCTTGTGTGTGGAGTTTTGCATCTTCTACTCGTGTTGGTGTGGGTTTCCTCTGGGTGCTACGGTTTCCCCCACAGTCCAAACACATGCACTATAGGGGAATTGATGAACGAAACTGGCTGTAGTGTAAGATTGTGTGTGTGTGTAAACGGAACAGTTGGCGGTTCATTCCACTGTGGCGACCTCTGAAATAGAGACTAAGCTGAAGGAAAATGAATGAATTAAAATTTATTTAATTAGAATGAAATTCTGTAGATGGTATTACACACAAAAAATTTTTTTTATAAAATCATCTGTTGTGTGTTGTCTTAGACCCGACTCATAGCTAAGAATTGGGTTTATTAAGTAAAAACTCCCTGACTTCATCCGTCCTTTCTGTTTCATACAAAGAAAAATCTATCAGGAGCTATGCTTAGTCAAAATAAGATCATAATCATATTATTAACTTTGGTTTTGACGGCTTCCAAAACTCACTGTATGCACCTACAAAAATGCACCCCTTCTGAAATGTGAATCTATTAACTTAAATTTATATTTTTTTAATACCAGCATTATGAGAGTCAACCAATAGGAATAGCCCTTACCTTACAGAAGATTACAGAATTCTTTTCTTCTTTTTTTACATTTATTTGTAAACCTAGTGCGTTTTAAAATGTTTTTCACTTGTTGTTTTTGCTTTATCCATCAAGATAATCATATTACGTTTTAATCAATTATGCCCTACATTGGTTTTTATGTAGACTGAGAATCTCATTAAAAGTTTGAAAGGGGTGCATCCTATGCAGGAATAAGCAGGAGCGGTGCGAGAGGCGCGCTGGTATGTTTTCTGCGCGCACTCGTCAGTTTGTTTTTGATTACATTGCTTTTACCAGTGTTGGTTCGGTTCCACAGAGAGAACAACATCTTTATATAATGATAAACGTTATGTTCGTGCGTGCTGTTAAGATTTTCACAGCATCTCGATCTAGACTAACGTGAGGCTATATTTATTGCTAATGCTAACGTTTGCGGTCGAGCAGCATGCACGTGTTTCCGTCAATTTTTTAACTATTTACTGCTAAAACATGAAAATGTGATATTGCTTTAGTTTAACTGAGATTTATCTAACGAATGACATTTCTAAGTTAATGTTATATGAAAGCATTTTAAAGTAAAACGGAAATGTACATTGGGTATGAAATGTACATCATGATATTAAAATAGGAATAATCCGCTTAAACACACTGATCCATAAACATCAGCAATGGTTTAACTGAAGATGCAGACTATATAAAACGATGAATTGAGAGACGGACGAAAAAGTCAGAAAGGCTTCCGTCTACTGAATGACGTATGTCAGGATGGCCGAGCGGTCTAAGGCGCCAGACTCAAGGTTCATACCTTCCTGTGAAGCGGGATTTCTGGTCTCCGAATGGAGGCGTGGGTTCGAATCCCACTTCTGACAGTACTTTTCTGTTGCTAATTTACAACATTTCTTACAAAATAGTTGAGTATTCCTTTCACTTTGGACATTGTTTATGTTTCGTAACTGCTGTTGCTACTAATATAAACTTTTTTATTTTATTTTTTTTAACAATGATTTTTTATATTGTACATCAAGTTCACTGACATTAATAATAATAATAATAATTAGAAGTTGTTATATGTTTATGATTATCTTAACAACAACTTACTCATAAAAGCAATATTTAGTAAAACTGCCTTAATTTACATAATGCAATGTAAAATGCATTGTAAACAGGCTACTTATTTTTTTAATCTGGTTACGTAGTCTGTATTAGATTTGATAAGTTACTGTACACACAACACATGGCTGAGTTGTAATTTACAGCATGCTGATCATTATTACAAAAATAAAGCATTTTAAATGCACATTCCACCACATAATGATATTAAACACAATGCATCATTTGAAATTACTCATATTCTGTGGAATCATGGAAATGGTTCATAATTCTCTTTCTCTCTCTCTCTCTCTCTCTCTCTCTCTCTCTCTCTCTCTCTCTCTCTCACACACACACACACTCTCTCTATCTCTCTCTCTCCCACTCTCTCTCTCTCTCTCTCACACACACACACACACACACACACACACACACAACAAGTATGCATTCACGGACACACACACACCCAAAAAAGTGAGAAAATATATTTTATGAGTTTTTCACAGGACAGGAGTATTTTATGTGTGTACATCATAGTGTGAAGTCTGACTAAATCTTGAATTTGAATCCATTTTGAATGCATCTAAAATCTTTTGTGAAAACATTTTATAATATATGTGCAGGGGCGTAGCAACCGGTGTAATGGGGAACATACGACCCTTTCCCTTTTAGAGACCATTTAGAAACAGGTGATCAATAATTGTATGAACATAAACTTTTGTATCGTTTAAAGCTGCCCCCCCCCCCCCCACACACATACATTTAAAATGTCCGCTACACCCCTGTATATGTGTACACATTGTCAATTCTTTTGTTGCATCTTTCTTAAACAGATTTTAATGTTCAAATGTCAGCTGTGGATGACTCTATGTATTCATTTAATAAGCTTTATTTTTCATAATTAAGGGTTGGCAGGTCTATATTTAAAATAATATTTTTAGATTATATATACTAAATGACTGCAAAAATCCAAATACAATATAAAAAATTCAACATCAACATCAGATTATAAATAAAACAGACGTTCATCTGTGGTTTACAAAATCACAACATATATACATGTCAGTCTAGAGCTCTGAACACCCAAAAGCTTTAAAATGCAGCAATGCACGTGTAGGATGTCTCATACACTCATGTCTTCTTGGAGTTTCTTTCGTTTCTGGAGTCTGGCACATTTGGGACATGATTCATCGCGGAAACATGAAATGTGGAAGCAGGCTCTGCAATCTAAAAAGAAATGATACAAGGCAACAGTCATTGGCTCATTCTAATGGAGTAATGCAGACAGAAATATTGTTTAAAAAAGATTTTGAACATAAATAAACAGATTATGTTGGTGGTGCACACTGATATGACCTTGGCAGCGGGTGCAGGTATCTCTCTGAAAAGGGAAGAGTACTTCCTTCCCATGACAGAACTCACAAATAAAACCTTTGGCCTGACACAGCTGGGAAATCAAGAGATATGATGACTGTTAAACACTCTGAACACTGAATGACCATAGTGTGAGTGTACAAATAATTGCTTACAAACCTCACAGAAGTCTATGTGAGCAACTGAAGACTGCAGCAAGGCTTTGGCTACAGCACACAGCTGACCTTTCTTCACCCTGTGGAGGTCATCCATGGAGAACAGGTGTAGATCCTGCATCAGGTGAGCAGGAAGTTGTTCAAACTCGTCAAGGACTCTGGTTGGAGAAACAGGTATCAAAAACAGAAAACCTACCTACATAATCCTTCTAAAAGAAATGCCACATCAATAGACAAATTACCCAGCTGATAGTCTGCATGTGCTCAGAAGCTTTTTGATGGATATCAGTTGCTCCTGTAGTTCCTAAAGCAGATGACAGAATGCAATTAATGACCTGATAAGTTTATGCTGCATAACTGATCTGTTATCACTCAAATACAAACACCGTAAAAACAGTTTAGCATAGATATTATCTGATTAGTCAATAGGCCTGCAGAAGTAAAGTCTATTGAAAGACAGCTAGCAACTTTCCAGACTTTCAAAACAGCATAGCAGCTAAAGATAATGCTCTGCCTTTGCCAGCAGGCGAGAGGCCATTTTATTTTTGTTTGTTTTTAGAATGGATATTGACAGATGAGAGACTTTAATTCACTGAAAATAAACAGCTTTTGAGAAAAAAATAGCATACTGGCTAATCTTAGCATTTAAACAATACCCAGGTAGCAAATAATTCTGGACCAGATTTGGCATAAAGCTGGCACAGCAGGCATTCACCTGCACTGGCATACAGCATGCGGGTCAAACATGGCCGAGATTTGGCAGAGGTGGCACCATCTTACAGGTGGCACTCAAGACTTAGGCAAGATATCAAATATAGTATTTGGCCCAGATGTTAAAAATGTATATGTGTGCCACGTAAGTTTGGGCTGTCTTGACCAACTTTTAAAATACATTTAAATTATTTTTGAGTAAAGAAAAAATTCTATCAATCTGGTCCCTTCAAGAAAAAGCATAGCCATATGGCGAAATGCTTCATAGGTTTATAAAATTCATTGCAGTCGTGACACACCAACATATCTGGTCAGGTTCAGGCCCAGTTATGGGTTAATAATTTGGCTGAACCTGGCCCAGATAGGGTCTATGTTTGCCTCTTGTATGGAAGTCAGACTTGATCCAGTCATGTACCCTAATTCACTGTGGCATGTGGGCCAAGCAAATGCTGATGGTGTGGGCCAGATCTGGGCCAGAGAAATTTTGCTATGTGGGTAGTTTTGGATTGATCTATTTTTAGAATTTTCAGTTGTCACAGAGAGTTTTGCAACAGATAGGCTGTTATAGCATGTTTCATTCATTTGTATGGTCTCCACAAACAGTGAGAAAAATGTAAGAGATATCATGGCTTTAATATGATTGGGTTCAGTTGTCCAACTTTCCTGAATGTAATAAAGATTTGTATCTCCCAATTAATAATAAAAATACTGTAATGAGTACTTTACAATTAGAACAATAATGGTGGACTACAGGACTGTATGTGTGATGGTGTTCCTTTGCGAAATGACTTCGACAACTACTGGCCTGGGAGGCATAATACAGCATTTTATTAGTATTTGTACACAGGCCTGTAGCCAGAGGGGGTCCGGGTGGTTTGAAAGACCCTCCCCTCACTGTCAAAGGTCCATAATTTGTCCCAAACATGAGCTCATTTGTCTTATTTGCACTGCTGTGCCATCCTAAGTAGTGAAAATAACCCATAAAAAAGGCTTTAAGACCAAACGAAATCCTCGGTTTTGGTGTGACTTCAGCTAATCAGTTTTGGCCAATGCAAAAAATTATTTTCACGAGTTCAACATCCAGCTGTGCAAGAAAACATACAATCTGATGTAAGTAAAGTCATCCTCGCTACTGTATTGCTTTTAAATAGAGAAAATATTTTACA